ACAATTTCACAGTCGAGTAGCCTCCGGCGCAGACACACACACACACACGCACGCACACACACACACACACACACACCGGCGGCTGAGATGAGCCTGAAACGAGCGCCGTACAGAACATCAATACAGCGCTCCATATCTGTGCCAGAGAAGACCCGTTCCAGATCAATACTGTCCACACCAAAACCATGTCACATTGTGTACGCTACAAGGCAGACAGCGGAGGAGCGGCTGTGGTTAGCATCCACAGGTTAGCATCCACAGGTTAGCATCCACAGGTTAGCATCCACAGCCGCAGTCACCGTCCACCATCACAGAGCCTCCTGCTTCATAAAGGCTGTAGCCATATCCACAGCCGCTCGCACAGACGCAGCCGGAGTAATCACAGGACCACTAAAAAGTTCATTATGTCATTATGTTTAAGGGGTTTGAGTTAGCCTGGTCTTACCACACCACTGTACAAAGTTCTTTTTCATACTAATACTACTCTGTTAACGGGTGGGAGGGGTTAACTCATTTTGCAGACTGAAACCATTGGATCTGAGTTTACTGTGACGTATGTAATGCATTTACATTTGAGGCATTTAGCATGTAGCTTTAGCATTTAACCTAGCTTTAGCCATGTCCTTTGCCACTAACAGAGCCCGTAGATAGCTCAAATCCTCCAGCTCTGGTCTTGAGCATCTACATTTGGAGATGGGTCCAAGCACACTGTTCTACGGCGCCCACTGGCTTCAGAATTATTAAAAAGTGCACCTTTACTTTTCCATGTTTATATTTCCAACACAATCACTAAACATCCACTTCCCTTCAGTCCAGTTCTGGGTCGGGGGGTGGTAGTTAGAGATACCGCCCAGTTCCCAGAGCACCAGCCTCTCAGTGATGCTCCTGCAGGGGGTGAGTCCACAGGAGACTGCTCTGTCAGTGACAACACAGCGGGGGCTTCAGGCAATGTGGGGATAAATGTGTTGCCCAAGGACACAACGACAGCAGACATCAGTGGGAGTCGGTGGAGAAGGTCTCGTGGTGGGATCAAACCAAATTTGGCAAAATGTATCTCAATGTTTGCATATTTTAAAGCTGCACTAACTGACTTTATTTTTGTATTAATTACGAAAAGTGCTATCCATGTCCATGCAGTGCTTTGGGATAAACGTCCTTTTGAAGAAAAAGTAGCACAGGTTTGTGCTGGCGTGACATTATATTTTAGATCGAGTTTTGATGAAACAAGGAAGAGAATGTGTTTCGGGTCGCAGATTGTGACCAATCACAGCGCACCACTAGCCCCACTTTCGTGAGAAATCTACAGGTCCGTTAGCATAGACGGCTGAGTTAGCACAACAAGCGGCGGAGCTAACCTGAAGCTTCCTCGTCTTCGTCACCGGTTACTGCTTACTCAGCGAGACAGCCAAAAGAAAGTCTCGTTCCTCCACTCTTCCTGGTTCTATCGTTCTATGGTCACGCCATCCACGTCTCCCATATTGGGAGACGCTAGCTCCGTCAACAACAGTGGGTGTGTGTGGGGGCGATAGCTTCGTGGGTGCGGGGAGCAGAAAGAGCTTCAATATCCCAAAGTCAGTTAGTGCAGCTTTAACTGTGACAAAGAAAAAGGATCTTGATTTGAAACATTACGTGAAATGTTGGAATGACAGAATAAAGCAACAGTTCTTGAAACAGGGCTTTGTCAGGGTTTGTACGGCCGAAGTGTAAAATTCAAGCACTTTTCAAGCACTTTCGAGATAAAATGGGAACTCTTTTCAAGGATCTGTACGAACCCTGCTTTGTCCCATTGGAGAATATTGTTTTAACACAGTCAGAATGTGCATAAATTAAGATAAAAACCACATTTATTACCTCATAATTATCATTTTTTGCAGTGTTAAAACCAGTCCACCTTAAATCCAGCAGAAATAAGAAGCAGTCTCTTTAGCTCCAGTGGAATTGAACCTTCATCCGTTATACGCCGCACATGACGCTCTAATTGCTGCAGGGATCATCTGGTGTCGATGGTGCGGGAGTCGATGGTACGGGACTCACGGTGTTGACCTTTTGCTTTTTGTAACTAATGCTTGTTGCTGTTTGTGGCTCCGTGACCTTTCTCTGCTGCTCCTGCCTCAGTGGTCACAGAGTCTGAGGGACCCGGCCGACCCTCCCACTGCACCAGTCACCAAGCATTTACTCCACATGGTATTGATGGTCTCTGTTCGCAACCATTTGTCATTCCAACTTTGCATTGGATTGGAAACGAATACCGGCTTTCTGAGCGATGTGGATGCACCTGGATGAAGGGATGTGGATGAAGGGATTGGATGGAACAAATGCATTGATTACACTTTTCATTCGTTTGAAACATGGACTTTGGTCATCTGCAGAGAGTGAGGAAGAATAAGGCCCTAATCTGTCATCATTAAAACGCCCTAATCTGTCCTCATTAAAGGGCCCTAATCTGTCATAATTAAAGGGTACTAATTTGTCATCATTAAAGGGCCCTAATCTGTCGTCATTAAAGGGCCCTAATCCGTCATCATTAAAGGGTCCTAATCCGTCATCATTAAAGGGTCCTAATCTGTCATCATTAAAGGACCCTAATCTGTCATCATTAAAGGGTCCTAATCTGTCCTCATTAAAGGGCCCTAATCTGTCATAATAAAAGGGCCCTAATTTATCATAATTAAAGGGTCCTAATCTGTCATCATTAAAGGGTCCTAATCTGTCATCATTAAAGGACCCTAATCTGTCATCATTAAAGGGTCCTAATCTGTCCTCATTAAAGGGCCCTAATCTGTCATAATAAAAGGGCCCTAATTTATCATAATTAAAGGGTCCTAATCTGTCATCATTAAATGGCCCTAATCCGTCATCATTAAAGGGTCCTAATCTGTCATCATTAAAGGGTCCTAATCTGTCCTCATTAAAGGGCCCTAATCTGTCATAATAAAAGGGCCCTAATTTATCATAATTAAAGGGTCCTAATCTGTCATCATTAAAGGGCCCTAATCCGTCATCATTAAAGGGCCCTAATCTGTCATCATTAAAGGGCCCTAATCTGTCATAATAATAAACTGCTCTTTTCCAATACTTCTTTAACTGATAACAGTAGTTCAGAAATATTTGAATTTCTAAATTACTTTTCCAGCCTCTAAATCTTGTTATTGTTTTCATTTCGATGTCCCGCCCTCCACCGTTTCACCAATCAGAAAGTCTGGGATCCGGGCGCCAGAACTCACCGTGTGGAGCTAATCTCACTGGTAAAGTACCATGTGGCGCAGAACTAAAAAAGGTCTCGTTATGATTCTCAAACCATTAACGACAAAACAAGGAATAAAACCAGGATTTCTATCTTTGTGAAAAAGATTCAGATTAATGCATTTGCCATTTGCAGTAAAACCACATTAGAATACATTTGCAGAAGTGCCAAGACAAGCACACAAACAAAACAAGATTAAAAGTACAGAAATAAAACAAACAAAAGTAAAAAATTGTTCCTGTGAAATCAATCGACTAAAACAGTTTCAATACAAGATCATTTAAAGTCTCTGTTCAGTTTGTGGAAAGAAGCTGTTAGCATGTTAGCATAACGAGATGTCCTGCATCTCAGCCAACAATATCTTCTGCTAGAAGGAAGAAGCTGGAACAAGGCTTTTCCAGGGGCCAGAAGAGTCATTAGCTGGATTCGTCTGCATATCTGGCAACCTGAGTCAGGGAGAGTGGGAGAGGCTGCAGTACCACTTTTGGCCACATGTTTACAGACTGCTCCTTTAAATCCTCGGAGAAAACTACTGTTGTGATTTATACAACATTGACTTGAATGTTGAAGTCTCAAAGCACAGTTTCACAGATAGATTCAACATTAATCAATTTATCATGTCCCAAAGTAAAATAGTGTTGGACTCCGAGGCGGCTACAGTGACATGAACCACGGTGGCTGAGTGGTTAGCACTCTCGCATCTCAGAGCAGGAAGGTCCTGGGTTCGAATCCCGGTCGGAACAGAGTCTTTCAGTTCTCCCCATGTCTGCGTAGGTTTCCTCCGGGTGCTCCAGTTTTTCCTACCACTAAATACATGTGCAAGGGCTCTGTTATGTGCCTACCCGCACGCACACACCCGCACGCACACTCACTGAGGGAACAGACAGGAGCCATAGAGGAGTCTCAACATGTGGCCCCTATTAGCTTCAAAGGTACCACACTTAGTCGAGACCGAAACAAGAGAAAATAAATATTTTCAGACGCCTTCTATAGTGATGCTTCTGAATACTTATGTGCCAAAAACATATTTCACAGTTTATCTGACTGACGGTTTTATTAATCACTAAAATCGACTGCAGTTTGTTTAATTGAAAGTAGCTACAATATATTAACGACTTATTAAACGAGCGCGAGGTCTGTGCAGAGAAATATCAGATCGCGGCCTTTTTTTAAAGACCGAGCAAACGAGGTTAATAAATGTTTTATTATATGACTATTTTTAAATTGCGCAAATATTGCAAATTTTTTTGATCGGTTTCAACTAAAAACACATTTGACCAAAGTGTCAAACTGTGACATGAAGAACAGAGGATTGAGGCGCCCGCTGTCAGTTCTCAGTCTGTGTCTTTACCAATGCTTTTTACATATCTGTGATGTTCATGTCCCACTTGGTTTTCCTGGTCCTGGTTTTACCTTTCTGGTCTGTAACCAAGTTGTCGATCTCTTCTTGACTGTTGGAGTTGTGTTTTCGTCGTTATTTGCTGTTATTACTTCCTCGGGCTCTTCCAACTTGTCCTGATGATAGAATTCACTGAGAATGCTCCCAGTCATCGCTCATTATTTGTTTTTAACCGAGGAAAGATATCAAATCTGATACGTGCTGCGGACCGATCGTCATGGTAACGGTCCGAGATGGGAAAATATCAGACCGCAAATCAGCCAATCAGAGCGCACGTACGATCCAAGTCATATAATAATAATAATACATATATTAAATGTAGGTTTGATTCAGACCCTTCTCGCTGCAGCTTTAGTTCTAATGAGGTCCTGATGAGGTCCTGATGAGGGACTGATGAGGTCCTGATGAGGTCCTGATGAGGGACTGATGAGGTCCTGATGAGGTCCTGATGAGGGACTGATGAGGTCCTGATGAGGGACTGATGAGGTCCTGATGAGGTCCTGATGAGGGACTGATGAGGTCCTGGTGAGGTCCTGATGAGGTCCTGATGAGGGACTGATGAGGTCCTGATGAGGGACTGATGAGGTCCTGATGAGGTCCTGATGAGGTCCTGATGAGGGACTGATGAGGTCCTGATGAGGTCCTAATGAGGTCCTGATGAGGGACTGATGAGGTCCTGATGAGGTCCTGATGAGGTCCTGATGAGGGACTGATAAGGCTCTGATGAGGTCCTGATGAGGGACTGATGAGGGACTGATAAGGCTCTGATGAGGTCCTGATGAGGTCCTGATGAGGTCCTGATGAGGTCCTGATGAGGTCCTGATGAGGTCCTGATGAGGGACTGATGAGGGACTGATAAGGCTCTGATGAGGTCCTGATGAGGTCCTGATGAGGTCCTGATGAGGGACTGATGAGGGACTGATAAGGCTCTGATGAGGTCCTGATGAGGTCCTGATGAGGTCCTGATGAGGTCCTGATGAGGTCCTGATGAGGTCCTGATGAGGGACTGATGAGGGACTGATAAGGCTCTGATGAGGTCCTGATGAGGTCCTGATGAGGTCCTGATGAGGGACTGATGAGGGACTGATAAGGCTCTGATGAGGTCCTGATGAGGTCCTGATGAGGTCCTGATGAGGTCCTGATGAGGTCCTGAACCCCATCTCTCCTGCTCACACACACTTGTTACTGTGTGATTTAAGGCGGGGATCGCTCATAAACTAACGCCGCCTCAGTATATTACAGAGTGTGTGTCTGTGTGAGTGCCCTGTGCCCTTCTCCGAGGACAGGCTCTCTCTCTGGGACTCGAACACTTCACCATCTGCTGCGGAGTCGTTTCACTGCAGCAAACCTTCCACTAAATCAGGTTTAGTTTGAGTTCACAGCTGCTTCTGTCAGTGTTAGGATAACGATCATGGCTGTGAGCACCGACCACAGACCTGCTGCAACCGGGAAGCCAGGTGTGAGAGAGAGCAGCTGGAGGTGCTCTCTCGCTGTCGGCTTTGTGTTTTAAAAAGTCAGGTGGTGCTCTCTCACTGTCGGCTTTGTGTTTTAAAAAGTCAGCCGGTGGTGCTCTCTCGCTGTTGGCTTTGTGTTTTAAAAAGTCAGGTGGTGCTCTCTCGCTGTCGGCTTTGTGTTTTAAAAAGTCAAGTGGTGCTCTCTCGCTGTCAGCTTTGTGTTTTAAAAAGTCAGCCGGTGGTGCTCTCTCGCTGTTGGCTTTGTGTTTTAAAAAGTCAGGTGGTGCTCTCTCGCTGTCGGCTTTGTGTTTTAAAAAGTCAAGTGGTGCTCTCTCGCTGTCGGCTTTGTGTTTTAAAAAGTCAGGTGGTGCTCTCTCACTGTCGGCTTTGTGTTTTAAAAAGTCAGCCGGTGGAGCTCCTCGCTGTCGGCTTTGTGTTTTAAAAAGTCAGGTGGTGCTCTCTCGCTGTCGGGTTTGTGTTTTAAAAAGTCAGGTGGTGGTGCTCTCTCGCTGTCAGCTTTCTGTTTTAAAAAGTCAGGTGGTGCTCTCTCGCTGTCGGCTTTGTGTTTTAAAAAGTCAGGTGGTGCTCTCTCGCTGTTGGCTTTGTGTTTTAAAAAGTCAGGTGGTGCTCTCTCGCTGTTAGCTTTGTGTTTTAAAAAGTCAGGTGGTGCTCTCTCGCTGTTGGCTTTGTGTTTTAAAAAGTCAGGTGGTGCTCTCTCGCTGTCGGCTTTGTGTTTTAAAAAGTCAAGTGGTGCTCTCTCGCTGTCAGCTTTGTGTTTTAAAAAGTCAGCCGGTGGTGCTCTCTCGCTGTTGGCTTTGTGTTTTAAAAAGTCAGGTGGTGCTCTCTCGCTGTCGGCTTTGTGTTTTAAAAAGTCAAGTGGTGCTCTCTCGCTGTCGGCTTTGTGTTTTAAAAAGTCAGGTGGTGCTCTCTCACTGTCGGCTTTGTGTTTTAAAAAAGTCAGCCGGTGGAGCTCTCTCGCTGTCGGCTTTGTGTTTTAAAAAGTCAGGTGGTGCTCTCTCGCTGTCGGGTTTGTGTTTTAAAAAGTCAGGTGGTGGTGCTCTCTCGCTGTCAGCTTTCTGTTTTAAAAAGTCAGGTGGTGCTCTCTCGCTGTCGGCTTTGTGTTTTAAAAAGTCAGGTGGTGCTCTCTCGCTGTTGGCTTTGTGTTTTAAAAAGTCAGGTGGTGCTCTCTCGCTGTTAGCTTTGTGTTTTAAAAAGTCAGGTGGTGCTCTCTCGCTGTTAGCTTTGTGTTTTAAAAAGTCAGGTGGTGCTCTCTCACTGTCGGCTTTGTGTTTTAAAAAGTCAGGTGGTGCTCTCTCGCCGTCGGCTTTGTGTTTTAAAAGGTCAGGTGGTGCTTTCTCGCTGTCGGCTTTGTGTTTTAAAAAGTCAGGTGGTGGTGCTCTCTCGCTGTCGGCTTTGTGTTTTAAAAAGTCAGGTGGTGCTCTCTCGCTGTCGGCTTTGTGTTTTAAAAAGTTAGATGGTGGTGCTCTCTCGCTGTCGGCTTTGTGTTTTAAAAAGTCAGGTGGTGCTCTCTCGCTGTCGGCTTTGTGTTTTAAAAAGTTAGATGGTGGTGCTCTCTCACTGTCGGGTTTGTGTTTTAAAAAGTCAGGTGGTGCTCTCTCGCTGTCGGCTTTGTGTTTTAAAAAGTTAGATGGTGGTGCTCTCTCACTGTCGGGTTTGTGTTTTAAAAAGTCAGGTGGTGCTCTCTCGCCATCGGCTTTGTGTTTTAAAAGGTCAGGTGGTGCTTTCTCGCTGTCGGCTTTGTGTTTTAAAAAGTCAGGTGGTGGTGCTCTCTTGCTGTCGGCCTCGCTTTTTAAAAAGTCAGGTGGTGGTGCTCTCTCGCTGTCGGCTTTGTGTTTTAAAAAGTCAGGTGGTGGTGCTCTCTCGCTGTCAGCTTTGTGTTTTAAAAAGTCAGCCGGTGGTGCTTTCTCGCTGTCGGTTTTGTGTGTTAAAAAGTCAGGTGGTGCTCTCTCGCTGTTGGCTTTGTGTTTTGAAAAGTCAGGTGGTGGTGCTCTCTCGTCCTCGTCTTTGTGTTTTAAAAAGTCAGTCGGTGGTGCTCTCTCGCTGTCGGCTTTGTGTTTTAAAAAGTCAGCTGGTGGTGCTCTCTCGCTGTCGGCTTTGTGTTTTAAAAAGTCAGGTGGTGCTCTCTCGCTGTTGGCTTTGTGTTTTGAAAAGTCAGGTGGTGGTGCTCTCTCGTTCTCGTCTTTGTGTTTTAAAAAGTCAGTCGGTGGTGCTCTCTCGCTGTCGGCTTTGTGTTTTAAAAAGTTAGATGGTGGTGCTCTCTCACTGTCGGGTTTGTGTTTTAAAAAGTCAGGTGGTGCTCTCTCGCCATCGGCTTTGTGTTTTAAAAGGTCAGGTGGTGCTTTCTCGCTGTCGGCTTTGTGTTTTAAAAAGTCAGGTGGTGGTGCTCTCTCGCTGTCGGCCTTGCGTTTTAAAAAGTCAGGTGGTGGTGCTCTCTCGCTGTCGGCTTTGTGTTTTAAAAAGTCAGGTGGTGGTGCTCTCTCGCTGTCAGCTTTGTGTTTTAAAAAGTCAGCTGGTGGTGCTTTCTCGCTGTCGGTTTTGTGTGTTAAAAAGTCAGGTGGTGCTCTCTCGCTGTTGGCTTTGTGTTTTGAAAAGTCAGGTGGTGGTGCTCTCTTGTCCTCGTCTTTGTGTTTTAAAAAGTCAGTCGGTGGTGCTCTCTCGCTGTCGGCTTTGTGTTTTAAAAAGTCAGCTGGTGGTGCTCTCTCGCTGTCGGCTTTGTGTTTTAAAAAGTCAGGTGGTGCTCTCTCGCTGTCGGCTTTGTGTTTTAAAAAGTCAGGTGGTGCTCTCTCGCTGTCGGCTTTGTGTTTTAAAAAGTCAGATGGTGGTGCTGTCTCACTGTCGGCTTTGTGTTTTAAAAAGTCAGCAGGTAGAGCTCTCTCGCTGTCGGCTTTGTGTTTTAAAAAGTCAGGCGGTGCTCTCTCGCTGTCGGCTTTGTCTTTTAAAAAGTCAGCCGGTGGTGCTCTCTCGCTGTCGGCTTTGTGTTTTAAAAAGTCAGGTGGTGCTCTCTCGCTGTCGGCTTTGTGTTTTAAAAAGTCAGGTGGTGCTCTCTCGCTGTCGGGTTTGTGTTTTAAAAAGTCAGCCGGTGGTGCTCTCTCGCTGTTGGCTTTGTGTTTTAAAAAGTCAGATGGTGGTGCTCTCTCGCTGTCGGCCTTGCGTTTTAAAAAGTCAGGTGGTGGTGCTCTCTCGTTGTCAGCTTTGTGTTTTAAAAAGTCAGCCGGTGGTGCTTTCTCGCTGTCGGTTTTGTGTTTTAAAAAGTCAGGTGGTGCTTTCTTGCTGTTGGCTTTGTGTTTTAAAAAGTCAGGTGGTGGTGCTCTCTCGCTGTCGGCTTTGTGTTTTAAAAAGTCAGGTGGTGCTCTCTCGCTGTTGGTTTTGTGTTTTAAAAAGTCAGGTGGTGCTCTCTCGCTGTTGGTTTTGTGTTTTAAAAAGTGAGGTGGTGCTCCCTCGCTGTCGGCTTTGTGTTTTAAAAAGTCAGCCGGTGGTGCTCTCTCGTTGTCGGTTTTGTGTTTTAAAAAGTCAGGTGGTGCTCTCTCGCTGTTGGCTTTGTGTTTTAAAAAGTCAGGTGGTGGTGCTCTCTTGTCCTCGTCTTTGTGTTTTAAAAAGTCAGGTGGTGGTGCTCTCTCGCTGTCGGCTTTGTGTTTTAAAAAGTCAGCCAGTGGTGCTCTCTCGCTGTTGGCTTTGTGTTTTAAAAAGTCAGATGGTGGTGCTCTCTCGCTGTCGGCTTTGTGTTTTAAAAAGTCAGGTGGTGGTGCTCTCTCCCTGTCGGCTTTGTGTTTTAAAAAGTCAGCCGGTGGTGCTTTCTCGCTGCCGGTTTTGTGTTTTAAAAAGTCAGGTGGTGCTCTCTCGCCGTCGGCATTGTGTTTTAAAAGGTCAGGTGGTGCTTTCTCGCTGTCGGCTTTGTGTTTTAAAAAGTCAGGTGGTGGTGCTCTCTCGCTGTCGGCTTTGTGTTTTAAAAAGTCAGCCGGTGGTGCTCTCTCGCTGTAGGCTTTGTGTTTTAAAAAGTCAGATGGTGGTGCTCTCTCGCTGTCGGCCTTGCGTTTTAAAAAGTCAGGTGGTGGTGCTCTCTCGCTGTCAGCTTTGTGTTTTAAAAAGTCAGGTGGTGGTGCTCTCTCCCTGTCGGCTTTGTGTTTTAAAAAGTCAGCCGGTGGTGCTCTCTCCCTGTTGGCTTTGTGTTTTAAAAAGTCAGGTGGTGCTCTCTCGCTGTTGGTTTTGTGTTTTAAAAAGTCAGGTGGTGCTCTCTCACTGTTAGCTTTGTGTTTTAAAAAGTCAGGTGGTGATGCTCTCTCGCTGTCTGCTTTGTGTTTTAAAAAGTCAGGTGGTGGTGCTCTCTCGCTGTCGGCCTTGTGTTTTCAGCAGTCACCTACATCTGCTGAAGCTAAGCCAGAAAACACTGAGTTATTCACCTCACTGCGGAGTCTGCCGCAGGTGCTGACATATTGATTTTGGTTCTATTAGTCTGCATTGGGAAGCTGAACTCCACGCAGAAAGAAACCTTTTTGAGTAAATTTGCAAACACAAATGGCATTTGAATTGGCGGATCAGCCACAGACTCGTTCAGGGATCGAGGAGATTGGTTCTGTCTCCAATGAAAGGACAAGCTCAGATCTTAGAGGTCACCAAACTCTGTCTTTGCCCAAATATCCAAGATGGCACCTGCTGCTGGTGAGTATGTGTTGTTGATAGGCCGGGACTCAATACAACAATATTAATCTAATTAATAAGAGGCTTTGTAATGAATGAATCCAAATGAATCACATTTTAATTACATACCAATATTTTTTTCACATGTTTTAGTTTTTCCAGCCGAGTCCAACAGACCAGTACTTTTGTGAAGCAATAGCATGTTTAGAAATATAATACATTCTTTGGTCCTTTATCTTCTACTGCTCTGGAGTCTACGGTCGAGCAGAGTCATTTCAGACCTGATCCGTCACATAGAGCCCTATGTCCTCGGTCCAGGATCAGACCCTGATTATTTAGTCAAGAGTAGAATACAGAGTTAGCATCACTGTACGGTTCTCAGCTCTTCATTAGCGTCTTTTATCGTGCGAAAAACACAGGTTTCAGCTTTTGAGTCAGTCCAGTTTCATGGTAAACAGTCTTTGGAGAAGTGTCATTTGCAGAAACCCGAATTCGTTGAGGATTTCAAAGGCAGATCCCGTAAATAGAAAGTACAGCTTCACTCACATTCCTCATCTTCGGGTCAACTTCACATATTTACACCAACAACACATTTCTCCAAGTGGACATGATAATAACACTTTTAGTCGCTGACATTAGTAGAAAAACAGCAAAGAAGCAAACACAGACTGTGGTAGACCATTCTCTAGGAAAGGCTGTATTCACTGATTTGATGTGTTGGTTTCGCTCTCCTGTCAATCACCTCATGGAGTCAATAAATATCAATGTTTATTTGGGTTCTCGAGCTGGTGAGACTTAGGGTTCTGTGTAGTATCTGAAGCACCTGAAGAACCTGGACACAAAGGATCTGGTCTTGAGTTCACCAGATTTTATCAGGGGCGGACAGCCCAGATTTTACTTTTGACAATTTAAAGGAGCCATCTGTAAAAATTTGTCCAAAAGTGGTACTGCAGCCTCTCCCACTCTCCCTGACTCAGGTTGCCAGATATGCAGACGAATCCAGCTGGGACCATAACAGCTGAATAGAAAAGAGTTTTGTCAACAACAAATCTATAATCAACACCTTTTTCACAAAGATAGAAATCCTGGTTTTATTCCTTGTTTTGTCGTTAATGATTTGAGAATCATAACGAGACCTTTTTTAGTTCTGCGCCACATGGTACTTTACCAGTGAGATTAGCTCCACGCGGTGAGTTCTGGCGCCCGGATCACAGACTTTCTGATTGGTGAAACGGTGGAGGGCGGGACATCGAAATGAAAACAATAACAAGATTTAGAGGCTGGAAAAGTAATTTAGAAATTCAAATATCTCTGAACGACTGTTATCAGTTAAAGAAGTATTGGAAAAGAACAGTTTATTATTATGACAGATTAGGGCCCTTTAATGATGACAGATTAGAGCCCTTTAATGATGACAGATTAGGGCCCTTTAATGATGACAGATTAGGGCCCTTTAATGACGACAGATTAGGGCCCTTTAATGACGACAGATTAGGGCCCTTTAATGACGACAGATTAGGGCCCTTTAATGATGACAGATTAGGGCCCTTTAATGACGACAGATTAGGGCCCTTTTATGATGACAGACTAGGGCCCTTTAATGATGACAGATTAGAGATATTTAATGATGACAGATTAGAGATATTTAATGATGACAGATTAGAGATATTTAATGATGACAGATTAGAGATATTTAATGATGACAGATTAGAGATATTTAATGATGACAGATTAGAGATATTTAATGATGACAGATTAGGACCCTCTAATGAGACATTCTCTCGCACAAGAGCAACCGTTTGACCACGTCTTATTTTAGGCCGTGCTCTTCTGCTTTAATCACCGCTGCTCCAAGATGACATCACTCTCGCTGGAACTCCCTTCACCTGTCTCTGCTGCTGGTCTGCCTCTGCTGCTGGTCTGCCTCTGCTGCTGGTCTGCCTCTGCTGCTGGTCTGCCTCTGTCGCTGGTCTGCCTCTGCTGCTGGTCTGCCTCTGCTGCTGGTCTGCCTCTGCTGCTGGTCTGCCTCTGTCGCTGGTCTGCCTCTGTCGCTGGTCCTCATCTGAGTGCAGACGGCACAGGGGGGAACCAGGACCAAGGACACGTGACGCAGGGAATACTAAACACACACAGAGACACACACACACACGCAGACACACACACACACACACACACACGCACACACACACAGACACAGACAAACACACACAGACACGCGCACACACACACACAGACACACACGCGCACACACACACGCACATGCACACGCACACACACACAGACACAGACAAACACACACAGACACGCGCACACACACACACAGACACACACACACACACACGCGCAGACACACAGCTGGGTCTCTCCGCACCACTTCAAAAGAACGTATTTGTACCTCGAGCTTAAACAGCGAGGATTACTGAGAGATGAGGAGAATGCTAAGTTCAGCTTTGGACTCAGGAGGTGCAAGAGGAGGTGCAAGAGGAGGTGCAAGAGGAGGTGCAAGGGGAGGCAGAGGGGAGGTGTAAGGATCTACAGCCTCAGTCCTGGGTCTACAGACTCAGTCCTGGGTCTACAGACTCAGTCCTGGGTCTACAGCCTCAGTCCTGGGTCGACAGCCTCAGTCCTGGGTCTACAGCCTCAGTCCTGGGTCTACAGCCTCAGTCCTGGTTCAGGAGGGTCTAAGCACATCGATGATCCAGGACATATATTAACATTTATGGACATATGACATTCCGTTCCTATGGCTCATGTGTTAATGCATTTCCTGTTGATTCTCTGATCTGCGGTTGGCGAATCGGCAAAGTCCTCTGAGACTGACCTGAATGTGGGCAGGGACAGTGAGGTAGAGTAGTCTTTGAAATCACTTTGTATTTAGCAACTAACAACAGTCTGTGAATCCAAGATGGCCGCTGACCTAAACCTCAGTCTCTTAAGTCTCATTCCACTTCCTGACTGGATAATCAGCTTGAAACCCCAAACAAAAGTAAAACTGAAATATGAAACTTTTTGTCAGAGCAACTTGGCAGCAGTTGATTTTCCAATTCCAAGATGGCCGCTACTTCCAAGAGACACAAATAAGTGGCTTTAGTAAAACTGTCTTTTGTGATGCTAATGAGGGGATGTCAACTGTTGGTTTGAGATGATACTAGTTCACAACAGAAGAAGAAGATTGGATTAAGATTAAGGACATTTGGGAATGTTTTAGGAACAGTTCTGGACGCAGACTGACGGCAGACTGCTGAAAAACTGTTGAATCTTGTTCCCAAAAATTATTGTGGTGAGTGGGTGTACGGATTAGTGGGGGCGGGTCCCGGCTCCAAAAGGTCCATGAGCACGTCCACATATCAGTACTTGCAATACCACTCCGGGTCAGTGGGGGTGTACCCGGAAACAGAATTACCCAATGCTTTTGTATGGCGCCTTCTTTCCTCTTGAAAACGGCTTTACAGGTTGGTCCAAAAGTGGCTCTTGGTCCAAAAGTGGCTCTTGGTCCAAAAGTGGTTCTTGGTCCAAAAGTGGCTCTTGGTCCAAAAGTGGCTCTTGGTCCAAAAGTGGCTCTTGGTCCAAAAGCGGTTCTTGGTCCAAAGTGGCTCTCGGTCCAAAAGTGGCTCTTGGTCCAAAAGTGGCTCTTGGTCCAAAAGTGGTTCTTGGTCCAAAAGTGGCTCTTGGTCCAAAAGTGGTTCTTGGTCCAAAGTGGCTCTCGGTCCAAAAGTGGCTCTTGGTCCAAAAGTGGCTCTTGGTCCAAAAGTGGCTCTTGGTCCAAAAGTGGCTCTTGGTCCAAAAGTGGTTCTTGGTCCAAAAGTGGCTCTTGGTCCAAAAGTGGTTCTTGGTCCAAAAGTGGTTCTTGGTCCAAAAGTGGCTCTTGATCCAAAAGTGGTTCTTGGTCCAAAAGTGGCTCTTGGTCCAAAAGTGGTTCTTGGTCCAAAAGTGGCTCTTGGTCCAAAAGTGGTTCTTGGTCCAAAAGTGGCTCTTGGTCCAAAAGTGGTTCTTGGTCCAAAAGTGGCTCTTGGTCCAAAAGTAGCTCTTGGTCCAAAGTGGTTCTTGGTCCAAAGTGGCTCTTGGTCCAAAAGTGGCTCTTGGTCCAAAAGTGGCTCTTGGTCCAAAAGTGGCTCTTGGTCCAAAAGTGGTTCTTGGTCCAAAAGTAGCTCTTGGTCCAAAGTGGTTCTTAGTCCAAAGTAGCTCTTGGTCCAAAAGTGGCTCTTGGTCCAAAAGTGGCTCTTGGTCCAAAAGTGGCTCTTGGTCCAAAAGTGGTTCTTGGTCCAAAAGTAGCTCTCGGTCCAAAGTGGTTCTTGGTCCAAAGTGGCTCTTGGTCCAAAAGTGGTTCTTGGTCCAAAAGTGGCTCTTGGTCCAAAAGTGGTTCTTGGTCCAAAAGTGGCTCTTGGTCCAAAAGTGGCTCTTGGTCCAAAAGTGGCTCTTGGTCCAAAAGCGGTTCTTGGTCCAAAGTGGCTCTCGGTCCAAAAGTGGCTCTTGGTCCAAAAGTGGCTCTTGGTCCAAAAGTGGTTCTTGGTCCAAAAGTGGCTCTTGGTCCAAAAGTGGTTCTTGGTCCAAAGTGGCTCTCGGTCCAAAAGTGGCTCTTGGTCCAAAAGTGGCTCTTGGTCCAAAAGTGGCTCTTGGTCCAAAAGTGGCTCTTGGTCCAAAAGTGGTTCTTGGTCCAAAAGTGGCTCTTGGTCCAAAAGTGGTTCTTGGTCCAAAAGTGGTTCTTGGTCCAAAAGTGGCTCTTGATCCAAAAGTGGTTCTTGGTCCAAAAGTGGCTCTTGGTCCAAAAGTGGTTCTTGGTCCAAAAGTGGCTCTTGGTCCAAAAGTGGTTCTTGGTCCAAAAGTGGCTCTTGGTCCAAAAGTGGTTCTTGGTCCAAAAGTGGCTCTTGGTCCAAAAGTAGCTCTTGGTCCAAAGTGGTTCTTAGTCCAAAGTGGCTCTTGGTCCAAAAGTGGCTCTTGGTCCAAAAGTGGTTCTTGGTCCAAAAGTAGCTCTTGGTCCAAAGTGGTTCTTGGTCCAAAGTGGCTCTTGGTCCAAAAGTGGCTCTTGGTCCAAAAGTGGCTCTTGGTCCAAAAGTGGCTCTTGGTCCAAAAGTGGTTCTTGGTCCAAAAGTAGCTCTTGGTCCAAAGTGGTTCTTAGTCCAAAGTAGCTCTTGGTCCAAAAGTGGCTCTTGGTCCAAAAGTGGCTCTTGGTCCAAAAGTGGCTCTTGGTCCAAAAGTGGTTCTTGGTCCAAAAGTAGCTCTCGGTCCAAAGTGGTTCTTGGTCCAAAGTGGCTCTTGGTCCAAAAGTGGTTCTTGGTCCAAAAGTGGCTCTTGGTCCAAAAGTGGTTCTTGGTCCAAAAGTGGCTCTTGGTCCAAAAGTTGCTCTTGGTCCAAAGCTACGTTCCAGATGCTGTCGACGTTGAGGGGAGTATATATCTTTTGGACCAGTCTAGTTTAGCCGCTGTGGACTTTTGAATGCACTCGTTAGCTCAATGGGGCTAGTGTAGCTAACGCATTGCGGTTTTTCACATGTTCCTGCCCCCACGGCCATTTTGAAAAAGCCACAGAAGGCAAAAGTGATGTCACATTAGTTTTAACAGCAGAGATCGGCGTCTCGGCTTAGACCTCCTGATTGGCCCTCTGTATTTTCCATAGAATTGCAGTTATTAATGTTAATCCCTGAATCTTTGAAACGTTTTTTTTCCAAACCGCTAGTTGACTTGAGTACGTTTATGCTACATACCGCCGCCATCCAAAATACTACATCTCAGAGCATCTCGGCGAACGACAAACCTACGGCTTTAATTCCGTATGAATAATGCATGACCCGTGTATCTGTCTATATTCACACAATGAGGCTGTGTCAGACATTTTTCCCCCATTTTGTGTGTGTTCCTCAGTGCCCGACCGAGTGGAAACAGAGGATGTATCATATACTTGTTACGAGTGGCAGGACAAAATGCATAATTCATTTTCATTTGGGCGACTGTAATGGGGTTTGTATGTGTGTCCGTGGAAGTGCCGGCGGGAACGTGCCTCCTCTCGCCCTGGATGTTTGTGCGACGCCGGGAGAGGAGCCGGCGCGTCTGTGTAATAACCACGATTGGATGTGTCAGGCCATTTCTACAAGTGTTAAAGAAAGTAGGCTGGAAAAAGACAAGCAATCTGATGAGTGGTGCTGGGGCTCATCAGGGGAGAGGGGGGGGGCTGTGGCCAAACGCACAGATACACGGAAAAACATAACAATGTGACGGCTGCGGAGATGGATATTTGGGTAACAAGGAAAGGTTGGGAAGGACGACAAATCAGCAATTAGGGGGTGTCAGATTGGAGAGTATGCAAAGTGAAATGGCATCGTGGAGAGCGCTAATACGTGTCAGAGTCGCTGTGCATCAGACACACTTTAAACACAGACAAATGGTGGTTGTTTATGTGAATTGGAGATTATTTATCAAGGTTTGAAGAAACGGTTTAAAAAATACTGAGAGAAAATGGTAAAACAGAGCGAGTTTAAGGTGTATTCTGGTCTCGTACAAAGATACTTAGTTTAAAAGACAGATTAAACTGATTCAAACTCAAAACAATTGAGAAAACACAGGTGTAGAATGTTTTCTGTTTAAGGACATTGACTCTAATCATGTGACTTGATTCACAGTAATGCACAATTTATATATACAGTATTTTTCTGACTTTAAGAAAATCTAATTTAATAAGTTTTGGCTTACTGGGCAGAAACATGTTGCCAAGTAGTTCACAGAGGTCAAACTAAATATAAGATTTGTCAATAAAGCAGAATAAATACAGTTTAAAAGTTCTCACTTATAATATCTTTGTGTATATTTCTCATATAATAAATAGTTTTTGCACAGACATGAAAGTGAAAAGAGAGCAGTAGATGTTGCTCCTGAAGATTAAGAACAATCAGAGACTTATTACTCACAGTGAAAAGACCTGATGTTTTTGAACGACATTTTCAATAATACAATGTGGGACAGTTGCGGCTCATAATCAGGTGCAGCTTATAGTTCGGAAAATGTAACTAATACTTGTACTTGTTTAGAGCTGGTTCTGTCAGGGGTGTTCAGACTTTCATAAGACGACCATGCACTTTAGTGAGACGTGCCCAGGAGCCGACGCCTCAGACTGACAGGATTTGGACTGTTTGAGTTTAAAATGAGGTATGACATGTTTATTTTGGTTCATATTGACAGAGCTGAAGTTGGCTGAATGATAAATGTTGACATTAGCTCCATACAATAAAAAAGAAATGTCACTGTAGTCAAACAAAGTGAACGACAAATTTGTGACTTATTTCTCATCACTTTTTGCAGTGTAGAGTCCATAGTGTTAGCAGCAGAGGGCCACATTACCTGACACTTAGGGCCGCATTTGGCCCACGGGCCTGAGTTTGGACTGTGTTTCATGATACATAAAAGAATAAATGTGTCTCCTGATGTTGGCAGGTCTGTCCTGTCATTACCCACAGCCTCTGGCCCACGGTTAATAGAGTCTGCTGCAGCCATCTGCTTCTTTAATGGAAATGCACACAACACAAAGAATGTGGTCCACCTTCTCTCGCTTCTCCCTCAAACAGTTTCACATTCAGCCATTCAGTCGTTTTGAAGAATGACTTCTTATTGTTTTGTTTGTGTTGATATAAATCTAAGGGCATTCCACAAAACTGGAAAGAGCTCATTCATGTTCACGATTCAATAAAAACTGTAAAGTCATTTTTATGAGTGAACCCTGTGGCACCAGAACAGACTTCATGTTTATACAGAATTATGCACAAAATATCCATGAAATACTGTTCAAACAGAACCACATTTAAACTTATAAAGAGACACGAGTCCTGGATCTACAGCCTGTAGAGACCAGAGAGAGACCAGAGAGAGACCAGAGAGAGACCAGAGAGAGAGACCAGAGAGAGACCAGAGAGAGAGACCAGAGAGAGACCAGGGAGAGACCAGAGAGAGAGCAGAGCGAGACCAGAGAGAGACCAGAGAGAGACCAGAGAGAGACCAGAGAGAGACCAGAGAGAGACCAGAGAGAGGCCAGAGAGAGACCAGAGAGAGGCCAGAGAGAGACCAGAGAGAGACCAGAGAGAGACCAGAGAGAGACCAGAGAGAGACCACAGAGAGACCAGAGAGAGAACAGAGAGAGACCAGAGAGAGACCAGAGAGAGACCAGAGAGAGACCAGAGAGAGACCAGAGCGAGACCAGAGAGAGACCAGAGAGAGACCAGAGAGAGAGACCATAGAGAGACCAGAGAGAGACCAGAGAGAGACCAGAGAGAGACCAGAGAGAGACCAGAGAGAGACCAGAGACCGAGAGACCAGAGAGAGAGACCAGAGAGAGACCAGAGAGAGAGAGAGACCAGAGAGACCAGAGAGAGAGACCAGAGAGAGACCACAGAGAGACCAGAGAGAGAGACCACAGAGAGACCAGAGAGAGAGACCACAGAGAGACCAGAGAGAGACCACAGAGAGACCAGAGAGACCAGAGAGAGACCAGAGAGAGACCAGAGAGAGACCAGGGAGAGAGACCAGAGAGAGACCAGAGAGAGACCAGAGAGAGAGACCAGAGAGAACAGAGAGAGACCATGGAAGAGAGACCAGAGAGAGACCAGAGAGAGACCAGAGAGAGACCAGAGAGAGAGACCAGAGAGAGACCAGAGAGAGAACAGAGAGAGACCAGGGAGAGAGACCAGAGAGAGACCAGAGAGAGAGACCACAGAGAGACCAGAGAGAGAGACCACAGAGAGACCAGAGAGAGACCACAGAGAGACCAGAGAGAGACCAGAGAGACCAGAGAGAGACCAGAGCGAGACCAGAGCAGAGAGAGACCAGAGAGAGACCAGAGAGAGAGACCAGAGAGAGACCAGAGAGAGACCATATCTACATGTAAGTCTTGACTTTGGTCTACTTCCTCTTGCTCAGGTATTATTATTTAGCACTAACATTGTGAATATACATGTATTTTTTTTCGTATTTTAAAATGTTTAAGATCTTTGAAAACTTGTGACCTAAAGTCTTCATGATGACCAAAGAAATACACTTCTACTACTACTACATAAACTACAACTTAATCTAAATAAACTACAACTTCATCTAAATAAACTACAACTTCATCTAAATAAACTAGTACGAACCATAAACGTCAAACTGCTGGTGCGTCTCCTGAGCGTAACTATCTGGAGACAAAGTGCTCAGTGTTTGAAGTTGAGGAGATCTGACCAGTCACCGGAAGCCTCTCGTACCTCCATCGCTGCCACTGTTTAAGGTCACGTCATCCCCGTAGCAACACGGACGTCAGCGCATCCCCCTCAGTCTCCCCCATCTCTCCCCCGCCTCCCCCCGGAACCCACGCAGCTCTGGACCAAATGCCAGCCCTCTGCGTGTGTGTGTCTCTTTAAATGCCACTGACCGCTGACACCATCAAACCAAACAACAGGCTCCTGCTCCGGGCTTCAGCTCAGGTTAGCGCTGCGGCTTCATCGGTGAGCGCCAGTTTGACCCTCCCACGGCAGTCAATTTGACGGGGTTTTGTTTCGGAAGAATAATTACTCCACTTGAGGTCCTTCCTCAAGTGGAGGAGCTGAGGTCTCTCGGGGTCTTGATCACGAGTGATGGAAGAATGGAGCGTGAGATTGACAGGCGGATCGGTGCAGCGTGCGCAGTGATGCGGTCTCTGTATCGGACCGTTGTGGTAAAGAGGAGCAGCGTCTGCAGTCAGAGCTGTATCGGACCGTTGTGGTAAAGAGGGAGCAGCGTCTGCAGTCAGAGCTGTATCGGACCGTTGTGGTAAAGAGGGAGCAGGAGGGGAGAGGAGAGGGGGGAGAGGGGGGAGAGGAGGGAGAGGAGAGGGGGAGAGGAGGGGAGAGGGGGGAGAGGAGGGGAGAGGGGGAGAGAGAGGGAGAGGGGGAAGGAGGGGAGAGGAGGGGAGAGGAGGGGAGAGGAGAGGCGGGAGAGGAGGGGAGAGGAGGGGGAGGAGAGGGGGAGAGAGGGGTGGGGGGGGAAGAGAGTGGAGAGGGAGGGGGGAGAGGGGGGAGAGGAGGGGAGAGGGGGGAGAGGAGGGGGAGAGGGGGGGAGAGGAGGGGAGAAGGGGGGAGAAGAGGGAGAGGGGAGAGAGGAGGGGAGAGAGGGGGGAGAGGAGAGGGGGGAGAGGGGGGAGAGGAGGGGGAGAGGGGGGAGAGGGGGGGGGAGAGGAGGGGAGAGGAGGGGAGGAGGGGGAGAGAGGGGAGAGGAGGGGAGAGGGGGAAGAGGGGGGAGGGGGGGGAGAGGAGGGGGGAGGGGGGGGGGGGGGGGGAGGGAGGGGGGAGAGGGAGGGGGGGGAGGGGGGGGGGGGAGAGGGGGGAGAGGGGGGGGGAGGGGGGAGAGGGGGGAAGGGGGGAGAGGGGGGTAGAGGGGGAGGATAGGGGGGAGAGAGGGGGGGGGGGGAGGGGGGGGAGGAGGGGGGGAGGAGGAGGGAAGGGAGGGGGGAGAGGGGGGAGAGGGGGGGGAGGGGAGGGGAGAGGGGGGAGAGGGGGGAGAGGAGGGGGGGAGGGAGGGGGAGAGGGGGGGGGAGGGGGGAGAGGAGGGGAGAGGGGGGAGAGGGGGGGAGAGGGGGGGGGGGAGGGGGGGGGGAGGAGGGGAGAGGGGGGAGGGGGAGAGGGGAGGGGGGGGAAGAGGGGGGGAGGGGGGAGAGGGGGGGAGGGGGGGGGGCGAGGGGGGAGAGGGGGGGAGAGGGGGGGAGGGGGAGGGGGGGAGGGGGGGGAGAGGGGGGGGAGAGGGGGGGGAGAGGGGGAAGGGGGGAGGGGGGGAGGGGGGGGAGGGGGGGGGAGGGGAGAGTGGGGGAGAGGGGGGGGGTGGGAGGGGGGGGGAGAGGAGGGTGGGAGAGGGGAGAGGGGGGAGAGGGGGGAGAGGGGGGAGGGGGAGGGGGGGAGAGGGGGGAGGGGGGAGAGGAGGGGGAGAGGGGGGAGAGGGGGAGAGGGGGGGAGAGGAGGGGAGAGGGGGTGGGGAGAGGGGGGAGAGGAGGGGAGAGGGGGAGAGGAGGGGAGAGGGGGGAGAGTGGGGGGAGAGGGGGGAGAGGGGGGGGAGGAGGGGGGGGAGGGGGAGAGGGGAGAGGGGGGAGAGGGGGGGGGAGGGGGGGGGAGAGGGGGGAGATGGGGGGAGTGAGGGGGGAGAGGAGGGGGGGGGAGAGGGGGGGAGGGGGGGGGAGAGGAGAGGGGGGAGAGGGGGGAGAGGGGGGGGGAGGAGGGGGGGGTGGAGGGGAGGGGAGAGGGGGGGAGAGGGGGGAGAGGAGGGGAGAGTGGGGGGGAGGGGGGAGAGAGGAGGGGAGAGGAGGGGAGGGGGAGGGGGGGTGAGGAGGGGAGAGGAGGGAGAGGAGGGGAGAGGAGGGGGAGGAGGAGGGGAGAGGGGGGAGAGGAGGGGAGAGGGGGGGAGGGGGGAGAGGGGGGAGAGGGGGGGAGAGAGGAGGGGAGAGGGGGGAGAATACTAAAGCTTCGCTTTCCCCCGAGAAAGTGCCTATTTAAACCTTAGAACGTGAATATTAAATGTAGATCTGGATCCGAGTCCGAATCCGAGTCCAAATCTGTGTCCGGGTCCGGGTCCGGGTCCGGGTCCGGGTCCGGGTCCGGGTCTGGGTCCGAGTCCGGGTCCGGGTCTGGGTCCGAGTCCGTACACAGATGTATAGATATATCACTTGAGTTTACTTTTCTTTCTTCAGACATTCATCTTTTCATCAAAGTAAAGAATGACTTTCCTCAGTCGTCTTCTGGAGACAGTTCTTTGTCAGTTTCAAAGTAAAAGAATCTTTTCTTCTTTCTCTTCACTGCACAAGAGCATCAACTTTCTTATGTCGAGTCAAAGTTGTGTCTTTTATACAGAACAGTGTAAATTAAATGGTTAGATTTATAAATGTAGGTGTTCTGTCTCGAGGAACCACCGCCTGTTCCCCGTTTGAAAGAAAATCACATTTTCTGCTTTTGAAGCGATCTTAGATCAAAAACATAAGTATTTTATCATTTATATTTGTCGACCCACAGACCCAGTCACACATACACGGAAAGATGAATACATTAATACAAATCAATCAATCACAAAGCCGTAAAATGATTGAGCATGAGGCACAGGTAAAAACCAGCTGAGGAAGCACCATCTGAGGAGCCGTCTGCACCAGGAGCAGAGAGCCGCCTGCAGCCACAGGGGACGACTCAGGACCCAGAGGAGAGAGAAGACCCCGGACCCCACCTGGTCCAGACCCCACCTGGTCCAGACCCCACCTGGTCCAGACCCCACCTGGTCCAGACCCCACAGTACAGATATGGTCTCATTTATAAAGTCCCTCTGGACCTTTATAGATTTACAAAGTGCTTTACACGGAGAAACTATTCACTTATTCACGTGTTTAAAGGAAAACCACAATCTCTGCTTTAAAATGAATCGTTCTAATTCTTTGTCAGAATCATCGTTATATTCACCTGCGACATGTTCTAAACCATACAGTCATACACTGAGGGTCCGGTCCAAACGTGTAAGTGGCGTCCTGGGGTGTCCCTATTGGGGTCCAGGTCCGGCTCATCTGCATGTAGCCGCGCTCGCCGTCTGCGCCTCGTCTCATTTGCGCGCCGTGACAGCCTCGCCGCTCCTCGCCGCTCCTCGCCGCTTCTCGCTAATGCTAACACGCAGCTGCTTAGCTTCTAATTAAGATGTATGAGTCAGAGTGCCGTGTGTGCTGCCATTATCGTCCGCCACACATGAACGGGCCTGTCTCTCTCTGGCAGACCCCCGCGACCCCCGGCCCAGAAACACAGGCTAATTTAAGACGTGGCACATGCCGCGGCGCCGCAGGATTTACTCATGAATCTCAATGAGAGGAGTCGCCGTCGCAGTGTTGTCTTCTCTGCATCAAAACTCACTTTATAATGTTGGTTTTTTCAGGTTTTATTGATCCATGACGGGAGTCACATGGTCGTCATTTATGATATATGTAAATATTTCTGCTGCTAATTAATATAGACTCTGTTCTTGGATTTTCAAACATGCTGACACCTGTATTCTAAGACTGCTGACACCTGTATTCTAAGACTGCTGACACCTGTATTCTAAGACTGCTAACACCTGTATTCTAAGACTGCTGACACCTGTATTCTAAGACTGCTGACACCTGTATTCTAAGACTGCTGACACCTGTATTCTAAGACTGCTAACACCTGTATTCTAAGACTGCTAACACCTGTATTCTAAGACTGCTGACACCTGTATTCTAAGACTGCTAACACCTGTATTCTAAGACTGCTAACACCTGTATTCTAAGACTGCTAACACCTGTATTCTAAGACTGCTAACACCTGTATTCTAAGACTGCTAACACCTGTATTCTAAGACTGCTGACACCTGTATTCTAAGACTGCTAACACCTGTATTCTAAGACTGCTAACGCCTGTATTCTAAGACTGCTAACACCTGTATTCTAAGACTGCTAACACCTGTATTCTAAGACTGCTAACGCCTGTATTCTAAGACTGCTGACACCTGTATTCTAAGACTGCTAACACCTGTATTCTAAGACTGCTAACACCTGTATTCTAAGACTGCTAACACCTGTATTCTAAGACTGCTGACAGCTGTATTCTAAGACTGCTGACACCTGTATTCTAAGACTGCTGACACCTGTATTCTAAGACTGCTAACACCTGTATTCTAAGACTGCTAACACCTGTATTCTAAGACTGCTAACACCTGTATTCTAAGACTGCTAACACCTGTATTCTAAGACTGCTAACACCTGTATTCTAAGACTGCTGACACCTGTATTCTAAGACTGCTAACACCTGTATTCTAAGACTGCTAACACCTGTATTCTAAGACTGCTAACACCTGTATTCTAAGACTGCTAACACCTGTATTCTAAGACTGCTAACACCTGTATTCTAAGACTGCTGACACCTGTATTCTAAGACTGCTAACACCTGTATTCTAAGACTGCTAACGCCTGTATTCTAAGACTGCTAACGCCTGTATTCTAAGACTGCTGACACCTGTATTCTAAGACTGCTAACACCTGTATTCTAAGACTGCTGACACCTGTATTCTAAGACTGCTAACACCTGTATTCTAAGACTGCTGACACCTGTATTCTAAGACTGCTAACACCTGTATTCTAAGACTGCTGACACCTGTATTCTAAGACTGCTAACGCCTGTATTCTAAGACTGCTGACACCTGTATTCTAAGACTGCTAACACCTGTATTCTAAGACTGCTAACACCTGTATTCTAAGACTGCTAACACCTGTATTCTATGACTGCTAACCCCTGTATTCTAAGACTGCTAACACCTGTATTCTAAGACTGCTGACACCTGTATTCTAAGACTGCTAACACCTGTATTCTAAGACTGCTAACACCTGTATTCTAAGACTGCTGACACCTGTATTCTAGGACTGCTAACACCTGTATTCTAAGACTGCTAACACCTGTATTCTAAGACTGCTAACACCTGTATTCTAAGACTGCTGACACCTGTATTCTAAGACTACTGACACCTGTATTCTAAGACTGCTAACACCTGTATTCTAAGACTGCTATCACCTGTATTCGAAGACTGCTAACACCTGTATTCTAAGACTGCTAACACCTGTATTCTAAGACTGCTGACACCTGTATTCTAAGACTGCTGACACCTGTATTCTAAGACTGCTAACCCCTGTATTCTAAGACTGCTAACACCTGTATTCTAAGACTGCTAACACCTGTATTCTAAGACTGCTAACACCTGTATTCTAAGACTGCTGACACCTGTATTCTAAGACTGCTAACACCTGTATTCTAAGACTGCTAACACCTGTATTCTAAGACTACTGACACCTGTATTCTAAGACTCTTGACACCTGTATTCTAAGACTACTGACACCTGTATTCTAAGACTGCTAACACCTGTATTCTAAGACTGCTAACACCTGTATTCTAAGACTGCTAACACCTGTATTCTAAGACTGCTAACACCTGTATTCTAAGACTGCTAACACCTGTATTCTAAGACTGCTGACACCTGTATTCTAAGACTGCTAACACCTGTATTCTAAGACTGCTAACACCTGTATTCTAAGACTGCTGACACCTGTATTCTAAGACTCTTGACACCTGTATTCTAAGACTACTGACACCTGTATTCTAAGACTGCTAACACCTGTATTCTAAGACTGCTAACACCTGTATTCTAAGACTGCTGACACCTGTATTCTAAGACTGCTAACACCTGTATTCTAAGACTGCTAACACCTGTATTCTAAGACTGCTGACACCTGTATTCTAAGACTGCTGACACCTGTATTCTAAGACTGCTAACACCTGTATTCTAAGACTGCTGACACCTGTATTCTAAGACTGCTGACACCTGTATTCTAAGACTGCTGACACCTGTATTCTAAGACTGCTAACACCTGTATTCTAAGACTGCTAACACCTGTATTCTAAGACTGCTAACACCTGTATTCTAAGACTGCTAACACCTGTATTCTAAGACTGCTAACACCTGTATTCTAAGACTGCTAACACCTGTATTCTAAGACTGCTGACACCTGTATTCTAAGACTGCTAACACCTGTATTCTAAGACTGCTAACACCTGTATTCTAAGACTGCTAACACCTGTATTCTAAGACTGCTAACACCTGTATTCTAAAACTGCTAACACCTGTATTCTAAGACTGCTGACACCTGTATTCTAAGACTGCTAACACCTGTATTCTAAGACTGCTAACGCCTGTATTCTAAGACTGCTAACGCCTGTATTCTAAGACTGCTGACACCTGTATTCTAAGACTGCTAACACCTGTATTCTAAGACTGCTGACACCTGTATTCTAAGACTGCTAACACCTGTATTCTAAGACTGCTGACACCTGTATTCTAAGACTGCTAACACCTGTATTCTAAGACTGCTGACACCTGTATTCTAAGACTGCTAACGCCTGTATTCTAAGACTGCTGACACCTGTATTCTAAGACTGCTAACACCTGTATTCTAAGACTGCTAACACCTGTATTCTAAGACTGCTAACACCTGTATTCTAAGACTGCTGACACCTGTATTCTAAGACTGCTAACACCTGTATTCTAAGACTGCTGACACCTGTATTCTAAGACTGCTAACACCTGTATTCTAAGACTGCTGACACCTGTATTCTAAGACTGCTGACACCTGTATTCTAAGACTGCTAACACCTGTATTCTAAGACTGCTAACACCTGTATTCTAAGACTGCTAACACCTGTATTCTAAGACTGCTAACACCTGTATTCTAAGACTGCTAACACCTGTATTCTAAGACTGCTAACACCTGTATTCTAAGACTGCTGACACCTGTATTCTAAGACTGCTAACACCTGTATTCTAAGACTGCTAACACCTGTATTCTAAGACTGCTGACACCTGTATTCTAAGACTCTTGACACCTGTATTCTAAGACTACTGACACCTGTATTCTAAGACTGCTAACACCTGTATTCTAAGACTGCTGACACCTGTATTCTAAGACTGCTAACACCTGTATTCTAAGACTGCTAACACCTGTATTCTAAGACTGCTAACATCTGTATTCTAAGACTGCTGACACCTGTATTCTAAGACTGCTAACACCTGTATTCTAAGACTGCTGACACCTGTATTCTAAGACTGCTAACACCTGTATTCTAAGACTGCTAACACCTGTATTCTAAGACTGCTAACACCTGTATTCTAAGACTGCTAACACCTGTATTCTAAGACTGCTAACATCTGTATTCTAAGACTGCTAACACCTGTATTCTAAGACTGCTAACACCTGTATTCTAAGACTGCTAACACCTGTATTCTAAGACTGCTGACACCTGTGTTCTAAGACTGCTAACACCTGTATTCTAAGACTGCTAACACCTGTATTCTAAGACTGCTGACACCTGTATTCTAAGACTGCTAACACCTGTATTCTAAGACTGCTGACACCTGTATTCTAAGACTGCTAACACCTGTATTCTAAGACTGCTAACACCTGTATTCTAAGACTGCTAACATCTGTATTCTAAGACTGCTGACACCTGTATTCTAAGACTGCTAACACCTGTATTCTAAGACTGCTGACACCTGTATTCTAAGACTGCTGACACCTGTATTCTAAGACTGCTGACACCTGTATTCTAAGACTGCTAACCCCTGTATTCTAAGACTGCTAACACCTGTATTCTAAGACTGCTAACACCTGTATTCTAAGACTGCTAACACCTGTATTCTAAGACTGCTAACACCTGTATTCTAAGACTGCTGACACCTGTATTCTAAGACTGCTAACACCTGTATTCTAAGACTGCTAACACCTGTATTCTAAGACTGCTGACACCTGTATTCTAAGACTCTTGACACCTGTATTCTAAGACTACTGACACCTGTATTCCAAGACTGCTAACACCTGTATTCTAAGACTGCTAACACCTGTATTCTAAGACTGCTAACACCTGTATTCTAAGACTGCTAACATCTGTATTCTAAGACTGCTGACACCTGTATTCTAAGACTGCTAACACCTGTATTCTAAGACTGCTAACACCTGTATTCTAAGACTGCTGACACCTGTGTTCTAAGACTGCTAACACCTGTATTCTAAGACTGCTAACACCTGTATTCTAAGACTGCTGACACCTGTATTCTAAGACTGCTAACACCTGTATTCTAAGACTGCTAACATCTGTATTCTAAGACTGCTAACACCTGTATTCTAAGACTGCTGACACCTGTATTCTAAGACTGCTAACACCTGTATTCTAAGACTGCTAACACCTGTATTCTAAGACTGCTAACATCTGTATTCTAAGACTGCTGACACCTGTATTCTAAGACTGCTAACACCTGTATTCTAAGACTGCTGACACCTGTATTCTAAGACTGCTAACACCTGTATTCTAAGACTGCTGACACCTGTATTCTAAGACTGCTGACACCTGTATTCTAAGACTGCTGACACCTGTATTCTAAGACTGCTAACACCTGTATTCTAAGACTGCTAACACCTGTATTCTAAGACTGCTAACACCTGTATTCTAAGACTGCTGACACCTGTATTCTAAGACTGCTGACACCTGTATTCTAAGACTGCTGACACCTGTATTCTAAGACTGCTAACACCTGTATTCTAAGACTGCTGACACCTGTATTCTAATACTGCTGACACCTGTATTCTAAGACTGTCTTATTCACACTGGAGATTGGTCTGTGAGAAAACCATATGCTTTATATAAAAACATTACTATCTAGTCTATGTATCACTTTTGTGTGTCTATGTGTCACTTTTGTGTGTCTATGTATCACTTGTGTGTGTCTATATATCACTTTTGTGTGTCTATGTGTCACTTTTGTGTGTCTATGTGTCACTTTTGTAAGGAAGTTAGTTTTTTATTTATATACCGCCTTTTCACTGCAGATCTGAGTCTCAAAGCGGTTTACAATTGTTATTTTTGGGCATTTGTCTCTCACTCCACACAGAGATGGGAGGGGCCAGTACAGGAGGCGCATGTCAGAACTATTGGACATATTTTTAGTGGTAGGGGAAACCGGAGTACCCGGAGGAAACCTATGCAGACACGGGGAGAACATGCAAACTCCACTCAGAAAAGCCCTGATCCAACCGGGATTTGAACCCAGGACCTTCTTGCTGAGAGGCGAGAGTGCTATCCACTCAGCCACCGTGCCGCCCCATGTGTGTCTATGTGTCACTTTTGTATGTCTATGTGTCCCTTTTGTGTGTCTGTGTCACTTTTGTGTGTCTTTGTATCACTTAATAGAGAAAAAAAAACAATATGTTTAGCCCACAAATGGCACAGACTGGTTGCGTGGCTTCTGTCAGTGTGCCCCAGGGCAGCTGTGGCTACAGTAGTTTATCACTGTGTTTGAAGTGAGTGAATAATGAAGTGAAGCGTCTTTGAGAGTCCGAACTTGCAATCTCAAAAAAACGATGCATTATTAAGATTAAAAGTCAATCAAATGAAAAAACTAAATTCTAAAAAAGAAATTAATAATATTATTGTCTGAAAGAGAAGTGACATCACCGACAAAACTGTGGAAAAGAATGACTTTAAAGTAGTTTGGGGTGAATTTAAAATACCTCCATTTTCTGGGGTAGAAGAAGAAGAAGACACACACACACACACAGACACATTGACACACACACACAGACACACACACACACACACACACACACATTGACACACACACACAGACACACACACAGACACACACACACACACAGACACAGACACACACACAGACAAACACAGACACAGACAAACACACAGACAAACACAGACACACAGACAGACAAACACAGACACACACACAGACAAACACAGACACACAGACAAACACAGACACACACACAGACAGACACACACAGACACACACACACACACACACAGACAAACACAGACACACACACAGACAAACACAGACACACAGACAGACAAACACAGACACACACACAGACAAACACAGACACACAGACAAACACAGACACACACACAGACAGACACACACAGACACACACACACACACACAGACAAACACAGACACAGACACACAGACAGACAAACACAGACACACACACAGACAAACACAGACACACAGACAGACACAGACAAACACAGACACACACACAGACAAACACACACACAGACACAGACAGACACACACACACACAGACAAACACACACTAAGGCACACAGCATTACTTTCGCTGCTTATCGGCAAAGTGGGTTAAGTGTCTTGCCCGAGGACACAACGGCAGCAGACATCTCGTATCTGCGCATGAAGCCTCCGGTCTCTCACACTTCAGTTGTTTTATGCTAATCACCTGTTTCCCGCCCTTTGTCTTCTGCTCCATTGTTTCCGTGACGATGGTTCATCAAAGGCTCTGTTGCTCTTTCGAGTCGTTGCCTAATAACCGGTCTGTGCCGAAGTCTGAGGAGGCAGCGTCTGTCGGAGCGTCTGTAGGAGCGTCTGTCGGAGCGTCTGTAGGAGCGTCTGTCGGAGCGTCTGTCGGAGCGTCTGTCGGAGCGTCTGTAGGAGCGTCTGTAGGAGCGTCTGTAGGAGCGTCTGTCGGAGCGTCTGTAGGAGCGTCTGTCGGAGCGTCTGTCGGAGCGTCTGTAGGAGCGTCTGTCGGAGCGTCTGTCGGAGCGTCTGTAGGAGCGTCTGTCGGAGCGTCTGTCGGAGCGTCTGTCGGAGCGTCTGTCGGAGCGTCTGTAGGAGCGTCTGTAGGAGCGTCTGTAGGAGCGTCTGTAGGAGCGTCTGTCGGAGCGTCTGTCGGAGCGTCTATCGGAGCGTCTGTAGGAGCGTCTGTAGGAGCGTCTGTAGGAGCGTCTGTAGGGGCGTCTGTAGGAGCGTCTGTCGGAGCGTCTGTCGGAGCGTCTGTCGGAGCGTCTGTCGGAGCGTCTGTCGGAGCGTCTGTCGGAGCGTCTGTCGGAGCGTCTGTCGGAGCGTCTGTCGGAGCGTCTGTCGGAGCGTCTGTAGGAGCGTCTGTCGGAGCGTCTGTAGGAGCGTCTGTCGGAGCGTCTGTCGGAGCGTCTGTCGGAGCGTCTGTCGGAGCGTCTGTCGGAGCGTCTGTAGGAGCGTCTGTAGGAGCGTCTGTAGGAGCGTCTGTCGGAGCGTCTGTCGGAGCGTCTGTAGGAGCGTCTGTCGGAGCGTCTGTCGGAGCGTCTGTCGGAGCGTCTTTAGGAGCGTCTGTCGGAGCGTCTGTAGGAGCGTCTGTCGGAGCGTCTGTCGGAGCGTCTGTCGGAGCGTCTGTCGGAGCGTCTGTAGGAGCGTCTGTAGGAGCGTCTGTCGGAGCGTCTGTAGGAGCGTCTGTCGGAGCGTCTGTCGGAGCGTCTGTAGGAGCGTCTGTCGGAGCGTCTGTCGGAGCGTCTGTCGGAGCGTCTGTAGGAGCGTCTGTAGGAGCGTCTGTCGGAGCGTCTGTCGGAGCGTCTGTCGGAGCGTCGTCTGTCGGAGCGTCTGTCGGAGCGTCTGTAGGAGCGTCTGTAGGAGCGTCTGTCGGAGCGTCTGTAGGAGCGTCTGTCGGAGCGTCTGTCGGGAGCGTCTGTCGGAGCGTCTGTCGGAGCGTCTGTCGGAGCGTCTGTCGGAGCGTCTGTCGGAGCGTCTGTAGGAGCGTCTGTAGGAGCGTCTGTCGGAGCGTCTGTCGGAGCGTCTGTCGGAGCGTCTGTCGGAGCGTCTGTAGGAGCGTCTGTCGGAGCGTCTGTCGGAGCGTCTGTCGGAGCGTCTGTAGGAGCGTCTGTAGGAGCGTCTGTAGGAGCGTCTGTAGGGGCGTCTGTAGGAGCGTCTGTCGGAGCGTCTGTCGGAGCGTCTGTCGGAGCGTCTGTCGGAGCGTCTGTCGGAGCGTCTGTAGGAGCGTCTGTAGGAGCGTCTGTCGGAGCGTCTGTCGGAGCGTCTGTCGGAGCGTCTGTCGGAGCGTCTGTAGGAGCGTCTGTAGGAGCGTCTGTCGGAGCGTCTGTCGGAGCGTCTGTAGGAGCGTCTGTCGGAGCGTCTGTCGGAGCGTCTGTCGGAGCGTCTGTCGGAGCGTCTGTCGGAGCGTCTGTAGGAGCGTCTGTAGGAGCGTCTGTCGGAGCGTCTGTCGGAGCGTCTGTCGGAGCGTCTGTAGGAGCGTCTGTAGGAGCGTCTGTAGGAGCGTCTGTAGGGGCGTCTGTAGGAGCGTCTGTCGGAGCGTCTGTCGGAGCGTCTGTCGGAGCGTCTGTCGGAGCGTCTGTCGGAGCGTCTGTAGGAGCGTCTGTCGGAGCGTCTGTCGGAGCGTCTGTCGGAGCGTCTGTAGGAGCGTCTGTAGGAGCGTCTGTCGGAGCGTCTGTCGGAGCGTCTGTAGGAGCGTCTGTCGGAGCGTCTGTCGGAGCGTCTGTCGGAGCGTCTGTCGGAGCGTCTGTAGGAGCGTCTGTAGGAGCGTCTGTCGGAGCGTCTGTCGGAGCGTCTGTAGGAGCGTCTGTCGGAGCGTCTGTCGGAGTGTCTGTCGGAGCGTCTTTAGGAGCGTCTGTCGGAGCGTCTGTCGGAGCGTCTGTCGGAGCGTCTGTCGGAGCGTCTGTCGGAGCGTCTGTCGGAGCGTCTGTCGGAGCGTCTGTCGGAGCGTCTGTCGGAGCGTCTGTAGGAGCGTCTGTCGGAGCGTCTGTCGGAGCGTCTGTAGGAGCGTCTGTCGGAGCGTCTGTCGGAGCGTCTGTCGGAGCGTCTGTAGGAGCGTCTGTCGGAGCGTCTGTAGGAGCGTCTGTCGGAGCGTCTGTAGGAGCGTCTGTCGGAGCGTCTGTCGGAGCGTCTGTCGGAGCGTCTGTCGGAGCGTCTGTAGGAGCGTCTGTCGGAGCGTCTGTCGGAGCGTCTGTAGGAGCGTCTGTAGGAGCGTCTGTCGGAGCGTCTGTCGGAGCGTCTGTCGGAGCGTCTGTCGGAGCGTCTGTCGGAGCGTCTGTCGGAGCGTCTGTCGGAGCGTCTGTCGGAGCGTCTGTCGGAGCGTCTGTCGGAGCGTCTGTCGGAGCGTCTGTCGGAGCGTCTGTCGGAGCGTCTGTCGGAGCGTCTGTAGGAGCGTCTGTAGGAGCGTCTGTAGGAGCGTCTGTCGGAGCGTCTGTCGGAGCGTCTGTCGGAGCGTCTGTCGGAGCGTCTGTCGGAGCGTCTGTCGGAGCGTCTGTCGGAGCGTCTGTCGGAGCGTCTGTCGGAGCGTCTGTAGGAGCGTCTGTAGGAGCGTCTGTAGGAGCGTCTGTCGGAGCGTCTGTAGGAGCGTCTGTAGGAGCGTCTGTAGGAGCGTCTGTCGGAGCGTCTGTAGGAGCGTCTGTCGGAGCGTCTGTCGGAGCGTCTGTAGGAGCGTCTGTCGGAGCGTCTGTAGGAGCGTCTGTCGGAGCGTCTGTCGGAGCGTCTGTAGGAGCGTCTGTAGGAGCGTCTGTCGGAGCGTCTGTCGGAGCGTCTGTAGGAGCGTCTGTCGGAGCGTCTGTCGGAGCGTCTGTCGGAGCGTCTGTAGGAGCGTCTGTCGGAGCGTCTGTCGGAGCGTCTGTCGGAGCGTCTGTCGGAGCGTCTGTCGGAGCGTCTGTCGGAGCGTCTGTAGGAGCGTCTGTAGGAGCGTCTGTCGGAGCGTCTGTAGGAGCGTCTGTCGGAGCGTCTGTCGGAGCGTCTGTCGGAGCGTCTGTCGGAGCGTCTGTCGGAGCGTCTGTAGGGGCGTCTGTAGGAGCGTCTGTCGGAGCGTCTGTCGGAGCGTCTGTCGGAGGTCTGTCGAGCGTCGGAGCGTCTGTGGAGCGTCTGTCGGAGCGTCTGTCGGAGCGTCTGTGGGCGTCTGTAGGAGCGTCTGTAGGAGCGTCTGTCGGAGCGTCTGTCGGAGCGTCTGTAGGAGCGTCTGTCGGAGCGTCTGTCGGAGCGTCTGTCGGAGCGTCTGTAGGAGCGTCTGTAGGAGCGTCTGTCGGAGCGTCTGTCGGAGCGTCTGTAGGAGCGTCTGTCGGAGCGTCTGTCGGAGCGTCTGTCGGCGAGGAGCGTCTGTCGAGCGTCTGTCGGAGCGTCTGTCGGAGCGTCTGTCGGAGCGTCTGTCGGATCGGAGCGTCTGTCGGAGCGTCTGTCGGAGCGTCTGTAGGAGCGTCTGTCGGAGCGTCTGTCGGAGCGTCTGATCGGAGCGTCTGTAGGAGCGTCTGTCGGAGCGTCTGTAGGAGGTCTGTCGGAGCGTCTGTCGGAGCGTCTGTCGGAGCGTCTGTCGGAGCGTCTGTCGGAGCGTCTGTCGGAGCGTCTGTCGGAGCGTCTGTCGGAGCGTCTGTCGGAGCGTCTGTCGGAGCGTCTGTCGGAGCGTCTGTGGAGCGTCTGTCGGAGCGTCTGTCGGAGCGTCTGTCGGAGCGTCTGTGGAGCGTCTGTAGGAGCGTCTGTGGAGCGTCTGTCGGAGCGTCTGTCGGAGCGTCTGTCGGAGCGTCTGTCGGAGCGTCTGTCGAGCGTCTGTCGGAGCGTCTGTCGGAGCGTCTGTCGGGCGTCTGTCGAGCGTCGTCGGAGCGTCTGTCGGAGCGTCTGTCGGAGCGTCTGTCGGAGCGTCTGTCGGAGCGTCTGTCGGAGCGTCTGTAGGAGCGTCTGTCGGAGCGTCTGTCGTCTGAGGAGCGTCTGTCGGAGCGTCTGTCGGAGCGTCTGTCGGGAGCGTCTGTAGGAGCGTCTGTAGGAGCGTCTGTAGGGCGTCTGTAGGAGCGTCTGTCGGAGCGTCTGTCGGAGCGTCTGTCGGAGCGTCTGTCGGAGCGTCTGTCGGAGCGTCTGTCGGAGCGTCTGTCGGAGCGTCTGTCGGAGCGTCTGTAGGAGCGTCTGACGTCGTCGGAGCGTCTGTCGGAGCGTCTGTCGGAGCGTCTGTCGGAGCGTCTGTCGGAGCGTCTGTCGGAGCGTCTGTCGGAGCGTCTGTGGAGCGTCTGTAGGAGCGTCTGTCGGAGCGTCTGTCGGAGCGTCTGTGGAGCGTCTGTCGGAGCTCGTCAGTCGGAGCGTCTGTCGGAGCGTCTGTCGGAGCGTCTGTCGGAGCGTCTGTGGAGCGTCTGTAGGAGCGTCTGTAGGAGCGTCTGTCGGAGCGTCTGTCGGAGCGTCTGTCGGAGCGTCTGTCGGAGCGTCTGTCGAGCGTCTGTCGGAGCGTCTGTCGGAGGTCGTCTGTCGGAGCGTCTGTCGGAGCGTCTGTCGGAGCGTCTGTCGGAGCGTCTGTCGGAGCGTCTGTAGGAGCGTCTGTAGGAGCGTCTGTCGGAGCGTCTGTCGGAGCGTCTGTAGGGGCGTCTGTCGGAGCGTCTGTCGGAGCGTCTGTAGGAGCGTCTGTAGGAGCGTCTGTAGGGGCGTCTGTCGGAGCGTCTGTCGGAGCGTCTGTCGGAGCGTCTGTCGGAGCGTCTTTAGGAGCGTCTGTCGGAGCGTCTGTCGGAGCGTCTGTCGGAGCGTCTTTAGGAGCGTCTGTAGGAGCGTCTGTAGGAGCGTCTGTAGGAGCGTCTGTAGGAGCGTCTGTAGGAGCGTCTGTAGGAGCGTCTGTCGGAGCGTCTGTCGGAGCGTCTGTAGGAGCGTCTGTAGGAGCGTCTGTAGGAGCGTCTGTTGGAGCGTCTGTAGGAGCGTCTGTCGGAGCGTCTGTCGGAGCGTCTGTCGGAGCGTCTGTAGGAGCGTCTGTAGGAGCGTCTGTCGGAGCGTCTGTAGGAGCGTCTGTCGGAGCGTCTGTAGGAGCGTCTGTAGGAGCGTCTGTAGGAGCGTCTGTTGGAGCGTTCTGTAGGAGCGTCTGTAGGAGCGTCTGTAGGGGCGTCTGTAGGGGCGTCTGTCGGAGCGTCTGTCGGAGCGTCTGTCGGAGCGTCTGTCGGAGCGTCTGTAGGAGCGTCTGTAGGAGCGTCTGTAGGAGCGTCTGTCGGAGCGTCTGTCGGAGCGTCTGTCGGAGCGTCTGTAGGAGCGTCTGTAGGAGCGTCTGTAGGAGCGTCTGTCGGAGCGTCTGTCGGAGCGTCTGTAGGAGCGTCTGTCGGAGCGTCTGTCGGAGCGTCTGTCGGAGCGTCTGTCGGAGCGTCTGTAGGAGCGTCTGTCGGAGCGTCTGTAGGAGCGTCTGTCGGAGCGTCTGTAGGAGCGTCTGTCGGAGCGTCTGTCGGAGCGTCTGTAGGAGCGTCTGTAGGAGCGTCTGTCGGAGCGTCTGTCGGAGCGTCTGTAGGAGCGTCTGTAGGGGCGTCTGTCGGAGCGTCTGTCGGAGCGTCTGTCGGAGCGTCTGTAGGAGCGTCTGTAGGAGCGTCTGTAGGGGCGTCTGTCGGAGCGTCTGTCGGAGCGTCTGTCGGAGCGTCTGTCGGAGCGTCTGTCGGAGCGTCTGTCGGAGCGTCTTTAGGAGCGTCTGTCGGAGCGTCTGTAGGAGCGTCTGTCGGAGCGTCTTTAGGAGCGTCTGTCGGAGCGTCTGTCGGAGCGTCTGTCGGAGCGTCTTTAGGAGCGTCTGTAGGAGCGTCTGTAGGAGCGTCTGTAGGGGCGTCTGTCGGAGCGTCTGTCGGAGCGTCTGTCGGAGCGTCTGTCGGAGCGTCTGTCGGAGCGTCTGTCGGAGCGTCTGTCGGAGCGTCTTTAGGAGCGTCTGTCGGAGCGTCTGTCGGAGCGTCTGTCGGAGCGTCTGTAGGAGCGTCTGTCGGAGCGTCTGTAGGAGCGTCTGTCGGAGCGTCTGTCGGAGCGTCTGTCGGAGCGTCTGTCGGAGCGTCTGTCGGAGCGTCTGTCGGAGCGTCTGTCGGAGCGTCTGTAGGAGCGTCTGTAGGAGCGTCTGTAGGAGCGTCTGTTGGAGCGTCTGTAGGAGCGTCTGTAGGAGCGTCTGTAGGAGCGTCTGTAGGAGCGTCTGTCGGAGCGTCTGTCGGAGCGTCTGTCGGAGCGTCTGTCGGACTCTGCAGGAGTCCAGTCCCTGTGCTCCTCAGAGTCCCAGCAGGAGGCCAGTCCCTGTGCTCCTCAGAGTCCCAGCAGGAGTCCAGTCCCTGTGCTCCTCAGAGTCCCAGCAGGAGTCCAGTCCCTGTGCTCCTCAGAGTCCCAGCAGGAGGCCAGTCCCTGTGCTCCTCAGAGTCCCAGCAGGAGGCCAGTCCCTGTGCTCCTCAGAGTCCCAGCAGGAGGCCAGTCCCTGTGCTCCTCAGAGTCCCAGCAGGAGGCCAGTCCCTGTGCTCCTCAGAGTCCCAGCAGAGGCCAGTCCCTGTGCTCCTCAGAGTCCCAGCAGGAGCCAGTCCCTGTGCTCCTCAGAGTCCCAGCAGGAGTCCAGTCCCTGTGCTCCTCAGAGTCCCAGCAGGAGTCCAGTCCCTGTGCTCCTCAGAGTCCCAGCAGGAGTCCAGTCCCTGTGCTCCTCAGAGTCCCAGCAGGAGGCCAGTCCCTGTGCTCCTCAGAGTCCCAGCAGGAGGCCAGTCCCTGTGCTCCTCAGAGTCCCAGCAGGAGGCCAGTCCCTGTGCTCCTCAGAGTCCGGGCTGGTTCATATGGGACTAACATGTCACTAATATATTTTGGTGCGAGGCCATGGAGAGACTTGTAACAAGCAGAGCTGTTTTAAAGTCTATTCTCTGAGCCACAGGAAGCCAGTGCAGAGACCTGAGGACTGGACTAATGCGGTGGTACTTCCTGGTTCTAGTCAGGACTAATATGGTCGTACTTCCTGGTTCTAGTCAGGACTAATATGGTCGTACTTCCTGGTTCTAGTCAGGACTAATGTGGTCGTACTTCCTGGTTCTAGTCAGGACTAATGTGGTCGTACTTCCTGGTTCTAGTCAGGACTAATGTGGTCGTACTTCCTGGTTCTAGTCAGGACTAATGTGGTCGTACTTCCTGGTTCTAGTCAGGACTAATGTGGTCGTACTTCCTGGTTCTAGTCAGGACTAATGTGGTCGTACTTCCTGGTTCTAGTCAGGACTAATGTGGTCGTACTTCCTGGTTCTAGTCAGGACTAATGTGGTCGTACTTCCTGGTTCTAGTCAGGACTAATGTGGTCGTACTTCCTGGTTCTAGTCAGGACTAATGTGGTCGTACTTCCTGGTTCTAGTCAGGACTAATATGGTCGTACTTCCTGGTTCTAGTCAGGACTAATGTGGTCGTACTTCCTGGTTCTAGTCAGGACTAATGTGGTCGTACTTCCTGGTTCTAGTCAGGACTAATGTGGTCGTACTTCCTGGTTCTAGTCAGGACTAATATGGTCGTACTTCCTGGTTCTAGTCAGGACTAATGTGGTCGTACTTCCTGGTTCTAGTCAGGACTAATGTGGTCGTACTTCCTGGTTCTAGTCAGGACTAATGTGGTCGTACTTCCTGGTTCTAGTCAGGACTAATGTGGTCGTACTTCCTGGTTCTAGTCAGGACTAATGTGGTCGTACTTCCTGGTTCTAGTCAGGACTAATGTGGTCGTACTTCCTGGTTCTAGTCAGGACTAATGTGGTCGTACTTCCTGGTTCTAGTCAGGACTAAATATGGTCGTACTTCCTGGTTCTTGTCAGGACTAATGTGGTCGTACTTCCTGGTTCTAGTCAGGACTAATGTGGTCGTACTTCCTGGTTCTAGTCAGGACTAATATGGTCGTACTTCCTGGTTCTAGTCAGGACTAATGTGGTCGTACTTCCTGGTTCTAGTCAGGACTAATATGGTCGTACTTCCTGGTTCTTGTCAGGACTAATATGGTCGTACTTCCTGGTTCTAGTCAGGACTAATATGGTCGTACTTCCTGGTTCTAGTCAGGACTAATATGGTCGTACTTCCTGGTTCTAGTCAGGACTAATGTGGTCGTACTTCCTGGTTCTTGTCAGGACTAATATGGTCGTACTTCCTGGTTCTTGTCAGGACTAATGTGGTCGTACTTCCTGGTTCTAGTCAGGACTAATGTGGTCGTACTTCCTGGTTCTAGTCAGGACTAATGTGGTCGTACTTCCTGGTTCTAGTCAGGACTAATGTGGTCGTACTTCCTGGTTCTAGTCAGGACTAATGTGGTCGTACTTCCTGGTTCTAGTCAGGACTAATGTGGTCGTACTTCCTGGTTCTAGTCAGGACTAATGTGGTCGTACTTCCTGGTTCTAGTCAGGACTAATGTGGTCGTACTTCCTGGTTCTAGTCAGGACTAATGTGGTCGTACTTCCTGGTTCTAGTCAGGACTAATGTGGTCGTACTTCCTGGTTCTAGTCAGGACTAATGTGGTCGTACTTCCTGGTTCTAGTCAGGACTAATATGGTCGTACTTCCTGGTTCTAGTCAGGACTAATGTGGTCGTACTTCCTGGTTCTAGTCAGGACTAATGTGGTCGTACTTCCTGGTTCTAGTCAGGACTAATGTGGTCGTACTTCCTGGTTCTAGTCAGGACTAATGTGGTCGTACTTCCTGGTTCTAGTCAGGACTAATGTGGTCGTACTTCCTGGTCTAGTCAGGACTAATGTGGTCGTACTTCCTGGTTCTAGTCAGGACTAATGTGGTCGTACTTCCTGGTTCTAGTCAGGACTAATGTGGTCGTACTTCCTGGTTCTAGTCAGGACTAATGTGGTCGTACTTCCTGGTTCTAGTCAGGACTAATATGGTCGTACTTCCTGGTTCTAGTCAGGACTAATATGGTCGTACTTCCTGGTTCTAGTCAGGACTAATGTGGTCGTACTTCCTGGTTCTAGTCAGGACTAATGTGGTCGTACTTCCTGGTTCTAGTCAGGACTAATGTGGTCGTACTTCCTGGTTCTAGTCAGGACTAATATGGTCGTACTTCCTGGTTCTAGTCCAGGACTGGAGCTGCTGCATTTTGAATGTACTGCAGCTGTTTTACAGCCTGTTTGGACAGACCTGTGAGCAGGCCATTGCAGTAGTCTAACCTACTGGAGACAAATGCATGGATAAGAATCTCCAAGTCTGCTTTAGACACTATGTTTTTGATCCTGGCAATGTTTTTTAGATGGTAAAAAGCTGCTGATGTTACTGATTTGATGTGGCTATTAAAATTTAAGTCTGAGTCCAGTATTACCCCTAGATTCCCCCAAGGTTTAAATATGTGTATGAAGAGTTTCTTTTCACATGGTACGACACAAATGTAGCTACGACACAAATGTAGCTACGACACAAATGTAGCTACGACACAAATGTAGCTACGAGACAAATGTAGCTACGACACAAATGTAGCTACGACACAAATGTAGCTACGACACAAATGTAGCTACGAGACAAATGTAGCTACGACACAAATGTAGCTACGAGACAAATGTAGCTACGACACAAATGTAGCTACGACACAAATGTAGCTACGACACAAATGTAGCTACGACACAAATGTAGCTACGACACAAATGTAGCTACGACACAAATGTAGCTACGACACAAATACAGGCTGCATTACATTAGGCGATGACTTCCCTGATTTACATTGTTAGCTAGCTGTTAGCTAGCTGCGCATAGAAGTGTGACGGAATGTGGATCATTTTAAATATCCTTTGTTTCTGTGAGAAACAGTTAATTCTGCAGCTGACAGTCTCCTCTGTGTCATTATGCTAAACATATGTATGTATTCCACAGGAGGCGACACAGTAAAAGAAGGATGGGGAGTCGTCATCGGTAAAAACAGTCTCTTAAGGCCCACCTGCCGAGCTGTCAGTCAAACGTCTGCATCGACAAACGCTGCCAATCCATCACGGAGTGTGCTGTGAGTAATGTGTTATTGATATGAATGTCCCGGAGCTGAGGCAGAAAGTGATGCAGAGGTTTGAGAGCTCAAGGTGTCGTGAGATAAACATGATCCGCTCAGAGTCGAGGCCTGGAAACGTGTGCAGAGAAAGCTTTGACAGAGCTGCAATTACTGCTGATTATTCTGCTAATCATAATGAGGCAGACGCAGGTTCATGACAGGGTTTGGTGAGGACTGTCCTCGCGGCTGGATCCCAGTGATTGGTGTTTGTGCCTCAGGTGGAGAGGGATGTTTGTGAAAGGAGCTGATCACAAATCAAATTATCAGATTGTTTTCTCGTCTGAAATGATACCGGTCCAGTGGGCTCGGTCTGCGGGAGCCTCCATAGTCTCATAAACATCTAAAATGGATTTGTTTCCAATTGTTTCCAACCATTTACCTTTTCCATAACCACCCACGGTCACCACATGTGTCTTTAATGTTCTCCAACGATCGGCTCAACACGCATCAGTGATGTCCAACACGCTGAGCATTCACAGATGGATGTCGTCAGTGTCAGGCTGTGGCACACGCTAAAGGCACACGCTAAAGGCACACGCTAAAGGCAGAGGCTGTGGCACACGCTAAAGGCAGAGGCTGTGGCACACGCTAAAGGCAGAGGCTGTGGCACACGCTAAAGGCACACGCTAAAGGCAGAGGCTGTGGCACACGCTAAAGGCAGAGGCTGTGGCACACGCTAAAGGCAGAGGCTGTGACACACGCTAAAGGCAGAGGCTGTGGCACACGCTAAAGGCAGAGGCTGTGACACACGCTAAAGGCAGAGGCTGTGACACACGCTAAAGGCAGAGGCTGTGGCACACGCTAAAGGCAGAGGCTGTGGCACACGCTAAAGGCAGAGGCTGTGGCACACGCTAAAGGCAGAGGCTGTGACACACGCTAAAGGCAGAGGCTGTGGCACACGCTAAAGGCAGAGGCTGTGGCACACGCTAAAGGCAGAGGCTGTGGCACACGCTAAAGGCAGAGGCTGTGGCACACGCTAAAGGCAGAGGCTGTGACACACGCTAAAGGCACACGCTAAAGGCACACGCTAAAGGCAGAGGCTGTGGCACACGCTAAAGGCAGAGGCTGTGGCACACGCTAAAGGCACACGCTAAAGGCAGAGGCTGTGGCACACGCTAAAGGCAGAGGCTGTGGCACACGCTAAAGGCAGAGGCTGTGGCACACGCTAAAGGCAGAGGCTGTGGCACACGCTAAAGGCAGAGGCTGTGGCACCCGCTAAAGGCAGAGGCTGTGGCACACGCTAAAGGCAGAGGCTGTGGCACACGCTAAAGGCAGAGGCTGTGGCACCCGCTAAAGGCAGAGGCTGTGGCACACGCTAAAGGCACACGCTAAAGGCAGAGGCTGTGGCACACGCTAAAGGCAAAGGCTGTGGCACACGCTAAAGACACACGCTAAAAGCACACGCTAAAGGCACACGCTAAAGGCAGAGGCTGTGGCACACGCTAAAGGCACACGCTAAAGGCAGAGGCTGTGGCACACGCTAAAGGCACACGCTAAAGGCAGAGGCTGTGGCACACGCTAAAGGCACACGCTAAAGGCAGAGGCTGTGGCACACGCTAAAGGCAGAGGCTGTGGCACACGCTAAAGACACACGCTAAAAGCACACGCTAAAGGCACACGCTAAAGGCAGAGGCTGTGGCACACGCTAAAGGCACACGCTAAAGGCAGAGGCTGTGGCACACGCTAAAGGCACACGCTAAAGGCAGAGGCTGTGGCACACGCTAAAGGCACACGCTAAAGGCAGAGGCTGTGGCACACGCTAAAGGCAGAGGCTGTGGCACACGCTAAAGGCACACGCTAAAGGCAGAGGCTGTGGCACACGCTAAAGGCACACGCTAAAGGCAGAGGCTGTGGCACACGCTAAAGGCAGAGGCTGTGGCACACGCTAAAGGCAGAGGCTGTGACACACGCTAAAGGCAGAGGCTGTGGCACACGCTAAAGGCAGAGGCTGTGACACACGCTAAAGGCAGAGGCTGTGACACACGCTAAAGGCAGAGGCTGTGGCACACGCTAAAGGCAGAGGCTGTGGCACACGCTAAAGGCAGAGGCTGTGGCACACGCTAAAGGCAGAGGCTGTGACACACGCTAAAGGCAGAGGCTGTGGCACACGCTAAAGGCAGAGGCTGTGGCACACGCTAAAGGCAGAGGCTGTGGCACACGCTAAAGGCAGAGGCTGTGGCACACGCTAAAGGCAGAGGCTGTGACACACGCTAAAGGCACACGCTAAAGGCACACGCTAAAGGCAGAGGCTGTGGCACACGCTAAAGGCACACGCTAAAGGCAGAGGCTGTGGCACACGCTAAAGGCAGAGGCTGTGGCACACGCTAAAGGCAGAGGCTGTGGCACACGCTAAAGGCAGAGGCTGTGGCACACGCTAAAGGCAGAGGCTGTGGCACCCGCTAAAGGCAGAGGCTGTGGCACACGCTAAAGGCAGAGGCTGTGGCACACGCTAAAGGCAGAGGCTGTGGCACCCGCTAAAGGCAGAGGCTGTGGCACACGCTAAAGGCACACGCTAAAGGCAGAGGCTGTGGCACACGCTAAAGGCAAAGGCTGTGGCACACGCTAAAGACACACGCTAAAAGCACACGCTAAAGGCACACGCTAAAGGCAGAGGCTGTGGCACACGCTAAAGGCACACGCTAAAGGCAGAGGCTGTGGCACACGCTAAAGGCACACGCTAAAGGCAGAGGCTGTGGCACACGCTAAAGGCACACGCTAAAGGCAGAGGCTGTGGCACACGCTAAAGGCAGAGGCTGTGGCACACGCTAAAGGCACACGCTAAAGGCACACGCTAAAGGCACACGCTAAAGGCAGAGGCTGTGGCACACGCTAAAGGCACACGCTAAAGGCAGAGGCTGTGGCACACGCTAAAGGCACACGCTAAAGGCAGAGGCTGTGGCACACGCTAAAGGCACACGCTAAAGGCAGAGGCTGTGGCACACGCTAAAGGCAGAGGCTGTGGCACACGCTAAAGGCACACGCTAAAGGCAGAGGCTGTGGCACACGCTAAAGGCACACGCTAAAGGCAGAGGCTGTGGCACACGCTAAAGGCAGAGGCTGTGGCACACGCTAAAGGCAGAGGCTGTGGCACACGCTAAAGGCAGAGGCTGTGGCACACGCTAAAGGCACACGCTAAAGGCAGAGGCTGTGGCACACGCTAAAGGCACACGCTAAAGGCAGAGGCTGTGGCACACGCTAAAGGCAGAGGCTGTGGCACACGCTAAAGGCAGAGCGACAATGAGGCAGGAGCACCTGGAGGAAACCTGCACAGAAACGGGGGGAACATGCCTGGAGGGGGAATCAGACCCAGAAGCAGTAAAGGGACTTTAGAGTGATGGTTAGTGAGTAATAGAAACATTATTATTATTATTATTATGATTGTTCTGTATAACAGCCCTGGCTTCCTCTCTGCAGACGGAGAGCAGGATGTGACATCATCAGGTCTGACATTGGGGGTGGTGTGAGTGACATTTAGTCACATTTTGGTCTCAGCCGAGAGCGACCGTGTCTTGGTTGGTTCTTCATTATACTTTTCTCTTTACATTCCCAGATCAGGGATTAATCCAGGAGTTTACAACCTTTTCCCTGAAAGAGCTGAACAAAACAAGCATTAAATCATAAATAATCACAGTACATTCAAAAGAAACAAATAAATATATAAATGTATCTACCTTTGGGTTAGTGAGGCAGAGGAACCTGTACAATAACACAGAGGGCCGCAATTGGCCCCTGGGCCTCAGTGTGGACATGTCTGCTGTAGGTACTTACCTATCTACACACCTCTCACAGCTGTGTTTGGTGAGGGCCCTGCTGCCTGGAGAGGACTCTGTGATTGTGATGTCACACTAAAGGGAATGGATCCTGGAGCCGCAGGTTTGGGCCGAGCGGCTCCTCAGCAGATTTACAGCTCCACCTTTTCTTCAGGGAATCCCTCTCTTTCCCTTTAAAATATTCAGTCATAAATGTATTGGCAAACACAGGCGCTGACGTCTGTGTTTGCTGCAGGATACAGAGAAGCAGCAGCATCGACAGAGAAGAGAAATCACACAGAATCAATCCTGGAGGTGAAAACACACATCCTCTCACTCCTTGGTTTGGTTTGGTTGGTTTCTAGATAGTTTTGTTCTCCTGTAATCCTCGGTCGAAAACAGGGAAGTTTGACAGAAATCACCAAGAGGAATATGTCAATGTGGAGTTTGCATGTTCTCCCTGTGTCTGTGTAGGTTTCCTCCAGGTACTCCGGTTTCCCCTACCACTAAAAACATGTACACTAGGTCTGGCATGTGCCTCCTGTACTGGCCCCGCCCCCATCTCTGTGTGGAGTGACAGATTGTTAAGTGCTTTGTGACTCTGGTCTGTGAAAGGCGCTATATAAATAAATATTACTTACTATATTTCAATGTTTTTGTGACTAATAACTTTGGATATTGTTGTTTCTTTATCCACTTTTTAGCTAGAGGGAGTAAAGTGTTCAGACTCTTGTTATTGCAGTTTATGAAGGTTTGTCTCGTCGTCTTTGTCAATAAAGTTATTCAGTTTCTCAGGTGGAAACACACCACTATCAAACATTTGTCTGACGCAGAAAAAACAAATAACTATCATGTCTTAGTCCAGTCCAGGACCACTCTAGAACCAGTCTAGGACCAGTCCAGGACCTGTAGGACCACTCTTGGACCAGTCCAGGATCAAGCCAGGACCAGTCTAGGACCAGTCGAGGACCACTCTTGGACCAGTCTACAACCAGTCTAGGACCACTCTTGGACCAGTCTAGAACCAGTCTATGACCAGTCTAGAAGAAGTCTAGAACCAGTCAAGGACCAGTCTAGGACCAGTCTACAACCAGTCCAGAACCAGTCTAGGACCACTCTTGGATCAGTCTAGAACCAGTCCAGTACCAGTCTAGAACTTCTCTTGGATCAGTCTAGGACCAGTCTAGAACCAGTCCAGTACCAGTCTAGAACCAGTCCAGTACCAGTCTAGGACCACTCTTGGAACAGTCTAGGACCACTCTTGGACCAGTCTAGAACCATCTATGACCAGTCTAGAAGCAGTCTAGAACCAGTCAAGGACCAGTCTAGGACCACTCTTGGATCAGTCTAGAACCAGTCTAGGACCAGTCTAGGACCAGTCTAGAACCAGTCTAGAACCAGTCTAGAACCAGTCTAGGACCAGTCTAGAACCAGTGTAGGACCAGTCTAGGGTCGAGATGATTTCATGAACATAGGGACATAGAAGTAAACTGGTTATGAAGTTATGAAGACTAAAAACCAAAGCAGTGATCTTACTTCTGAACCTAAAGCAGTCAAACTGACTTTAGAGGGAGTTC